GGCCAACATAAAATATACATGGATACGACAGAACAAAATCTCACACAAAAATGTGAAGCTGGCCTGCCAACTCTGGAACGAAGGCCACAGAGGGGAAACTGACAGCCAGCCGGCACTTCAACAAGGAGGGAAATGGCTTTATGAAGGGATTTTCAATTTGTCCAAATGACTAATAGTTAATGAGCACAGGGACACATATACAAGACAGAATTTATTTTTCATATCCCAGTCTTTCCACCAGAAACTCCTAAAGATTATATTCAAACATTTTAAATATTTCTACATGTATTAAAGATGGTTGTATACATGCTTGAGTCATAGATTAGAAACATTATATAAATATATATTTGGATAAATGGAATGTAATTTTGTATAATAAAGAGAAAGTACAGGACTAATCACTATGGACCATTTCAATCTCTTACATGAGTCTGGAAATATTCATGATAAGTCAAAATGGAAAAATAATATGACAGTTTATGTTTTTAAAGTGATGCTGTCATTAAGTACCTTTGAAGAGTGTCGAAAATAAATTCACAGAGAAAATTAAGTGAAATTCATCAAAGATTGTATTTGGAAAATGAAAACAGAGAGTGTATCCAAAATCAATCTGCCCCACCCCTGGGCCCGCCCCCCCCATCAATGACTGCTTTCTGTGGCCTGGGGGGAGCAGTCACTCAGCAACTCTATCCCCCAGAGACCCAAACAATGATGTCGCCTCCCTCACTCCAGGTGAACATGGGTCCAGAGCGGCAGCCACTGCATCTTTGGAGCACGTGGAGGGATCTCCAGAGACCACCGACCTTCCCTTGGGAGAACACACAGCTGCCTCCCCTGCCTGTTGCAGATCCAGTTCGCATCTTCAGTCAGGGCTGTGCAGTAGCAAAATGTTCCTTCGCATCAACCCTGCGCGCAATGGAGAAAGCCAGGTAGACATGACCACCCCCAGCAGAGAGGCTTGGTCACACTTCTTCCATGTTGTCCGCCATTCAAACTGTAAATGTCAAACTCACTTCCATTCTTCTAGAGTTTTCATTTTCTCTTAATGTAATCTGTTTTTTCCCTCTCCTTTAATCAGACACTGCTGCTTTTTTAAGGGGCTATAAGAAATATTCATATGGTAGAAATAAGACAATCACCCAAAAGAGAAACATGTTTTTCTTGGGAATTTAAGAATACGGTTTCCTGAAAAATATTTGTGAAATCGAAATTTAAAAGGAAGGAAGAAAATGATAGAAATTCATTATAAAATCATGATCCTGAAAAGGTATCCCTGCTGTCAGTACATGTGACATATTGGTGAAAAAACGGTAGGATTTCTTCATCTTATGGGTATTTCACATGAAAAAAGTTACATTTTTAAAGTACTCAGCTCTGTGCACACATTGAAAATCACCACCAAATACGATCTGGTAACAACATTTAAAACACGTACTTTTTTCAACAGGACCTCAGACCTATGTATGTTTCATCCAGATAATTAGGTGTATTGCTTTCTAACGTCATACAGGTCACGCTCATGAATCTCAGTCACTTTTGACTTCAATTCTTGCTTGTACAGATGTTTTCCTTCCTTTGTGATGCAGGCAATTTCCACCAGAATCACCGGACTTCAGGAGAGAAGGGAGGTCTGTGAAGGAGCAGAGAAGGCCTAGCCTTTGATACAGAGCCAACGTGCTGCTCACTCTGGTTCTGTCACTAACTGCCTGCAATCGTAGGCAGGGAACCAAGACCACCTCTCTGAGCCCCAGGGAGACTGCAAGATGAAACCATTCAAGTTTCTCCACATTGTTATTGCGAGAATTAAATTGGGTAGTCGAGCCCCTGACTCATAATGGATTCCCCATAATGTTAATTCCCTACCATCATTTCCCATTCTGGGTATGCAATCTGGTGGAATTCACCTGGGTCCCAAAGTGCTAGCAAATAAAATAATCGGTGTTTTTAATGCCAAACATTTACCTAAGTTTGGCATCTCTGAGATCCTTACTCTGTCATCAAAGTGTACAATATTCACACACTGATGAGATTTCAAAGGTTTGGGGAATTTGTGAAATTGAGGATTGTGTCCTATCTCGTAGCTCCATCTCCCTCAAGAGATACGGTGTTCAATGAAGAAGTTGTAAGTGGCCTTGTGGGTGCCTGTCTTGCCTTGAAGTCACATCTTTGAGGCAGGCACAGGGGACAAAGTGATGCTGATGTGAGTGGATCAGTCTCTCAAGACATCTGATGACTTCATAGTCAGGAAGAGCGAGACTGGTCACGTTCAAGCCCAGCATCTGAGAAACCACCTCCCTGAAGTCCATCAGCTGCAAGATCAAACAGAACCACAGTAACTGAGACAACAAATGTTCCAGTGCCGCGAGACCAGACGCAACCGCAAAGCCTGTGGAAAACAGGTTTGCCTGAACTAGGCAAGTTACTCACTCTCATTACTCTCGGATTAATTCCCTCATTTATTAAAAAAAAAAAAAAGACGGCTCTAAAAGAGAATGAAATAATGCCATTTGCAGCAACAGGAATGAACCTAGAGATTATCAGACTAAGTGAAGTAAGCCAGAAAGAGAAAGACAAACACCATGTGATATCACTTATATGTGGAATCCAAAAAAAAAAAAAAGACACAAAAGAACTTATTTATAAAACAAACAAACTCAGACATGGAAAACAAACTTACAGTTACCAAAGGGGAAAGGGGTCGGGAGAGGGATAAATTTAGGAGTTTGGGATTAAAGATACAAACCACTATATACAAAATAGATAAACCGCAACATCCTACTGTATAGTACAGGGAACCGTATTAAATAGCTTGTTATCACCTATAATGAAAAAGAATATATACACATACATATATAAATAAAACTGAATCACTATGCTGTATACCAGAAACTAATACAACACTAAATCTTCAATAAAAAATAAAATAAATAACATGTATTTGAAAATAAAAAAAGAAGGCTAGCCTACTAAATCACCTCTAAGATCCTTGCAGACACCAACCGTCATCAATTCCACAACCACTTTTCTGATAAGCCAGTTAATGTGGTATCAGCTACGGAGTCAAGAAGCCCAGTTAAGCAGCTATGAATGAGACTCCGACCCTGGTAAGACTCCATTTGCTCACTTCCAGGGTGAATAACTGACCACATACCTACCTCCCAGGGCTGTTCTGAAATTTGGATCAAATGAAACGGTGACCATGTGTGTTCCGCATACTAGGAAATGCTTTACAAACCGTGTGGTTGTGTCTGTTGGGTGACAGTGCTTACGCGCTGGAATGTTAACTGGTCAATTAACCTCTCAAAACTAAAGGAAGAACAGATGGCAAAAAAGTATGAGCCAGTGAAAACGGAGGACTTCTAAATGATCAAATCACATCACACAGACTGCCACCTCGCAACCCGTAACACTGGACGCTCTGGGACAATTATTTGTCCATCACAAAGGGGAAAGTGGGAATTCTGGGGTTCGAGAAAATGGTTGAAATGTGCCTTGCACCCCTTCAGATTCTTCTAGAGTTGCTCTGATTCTAAACAAAGGCAGAAGCTGATCAGTGAGAGACAGCTGGGCAGCCCCTGCTAGAGGTACCTTCCATTTTAGAAAAGGTGTGATCCAATCCGAAGACAGAGGTTTCATCCATTCCAAACATTCCCACCATGTGCTGATTCACTCCCCGACCTCCTTCCTAGGCTGAGTCCAATTCAGGAAACACAACACTCTCTGAAGCCCAGCCTCCCTGATGAAAAAGCTTTCCTCAAACTTTTCCACCCTTTTGAATGTGACCAAAGCTCTTAACTGCTGAGAGGTTCCCTCTGAGACCACTCACTCTGAGAGCTTGGCCTTCCTCAACTCTGCCTGACACATGAGCCAAAGCAGAGGCAGCCAAAGAGAAAAAACTATCCTAGGATCAGAGTCCACTCTATGCCCTCGCGAGCTTCAGAAAGAGAAGGAGATGAAAGCCAAAAGCAGAGGTCAGGCTGCCCAGCACATGTTTCTTTCTGCCTGACCTCCTGATGGGCTCACCAGATAAAACTCCTCCTTGCAACCAGCGGGCGCATGAGGACTGTTTTATGGTTTACATCTGCGCTTGGTTGGCCATCAGGTCTGGGTGCCACTGTTTAAGCTCTGGGACTGTTTCCTGCAACTGATCTCTGCTAGAGATAAAATCTGCCCCCTGAGGCTGAAGCCCTGGACAATGTTAGAAGATCTGGGATAACGCAAACTTCAGAGGCCATCGGCGAACGTAATAAAAAACCTCTCCACAACCAGAACCTGGCTTCTCACAGGCTTTCTGTGTCTTTGACAAGAAAGTGTTTTTCTTTGCTATAGTTGGTGCCATGAAAATGTGAATTTTTTTCTTAGTAGAGTAAATCATAACGGTTCTTTTAATGCCAAAAAGATGCTAGAGGGCAGAGACATGTTGAATTGATACGGAAAGCGTTATAAAATACTTATGAAGAAATGTATGGATAATTCTCAAGTTTTGAATCATCCTCTTTTCTAAATAGAAAGGTTTCACCACCAGATTTCTACGCACCTGCTTTTCTCTCTTTTCTGCTGCTTCCAGAGACTTTTTTAGTGTCTTCATTTCACTGGTTACCACTTCCAGCATGTTCCTGGCCCTCTCGTTACTCTCCTTAGCCTCATGCTCTGTCGTATCCAATTCCGACTGGACAGTTAGAAGCTTCTTCTCAGCTTTCTCCTTCATCTTTTCCAGTTTGTCTCTGGACTTACTTAGGTCTTCAATGGCTTTGGTCTGTTCCAAAGTTTTAATCTAACAAGTCAAAGAGAAAGCTGATAATTTCTTCTGCATGTGCTGAGGAAAGTTGTATAAACAAGACAAATCAGAAGTCAGTGAGATTCATTTAACAACTTTTCTATGAATAAAGAATGGAGTCCAACCCAGTTACACAGACTCTGCAAAGGATATATGCTGGATGAATGTGTCTGAAGACAGTTATAGTTTATTATAAACGACATATGAGAGTACCATTGTTTGGAAAATCAATGAGATGAAATGGTAGGCAGCGTGATTCAGGGGTAAAATATTAAAATAAAGTCCCCTGCTACTCACACACAGACTCTTAATGAGTGCCATAGGTCAAGCAATTTGTACTTTTTACCCCTGTCAAGGGGTCATTCCTGGTACTAGAAACATTAGAAAGAGCAAAACGTCTCCCATTTTGGTGATTTACCACAGGGAAGCCCCACCTAAAATCCCCTCAGCAAGTCATCACTGCTGTGTGAGACATCAGCAACTTTTCAGAAGAAACATCTTCTGCCTTTAACACTGAGTATGGGAGGTGGGAGGTGGGAGGCGGCCACAGCATTCACTGCAGACAAGAGAGAAGGGTGGTAGCTGTATCTAAGAAGCTGCCCCAGGATCTTAAGGCCAAAACAGCATCCTGAAGTATGAGGCACATTTTCTTTATTAGCTTAATATTTTAAATTGCACCAGATCCACTTACAAAAAGCATTTGAGTAAAAGGAACGAAATTTTGATACTATAACACAGATGCACCTTGACGACATCATAAGTGAATAGGCCAGATAAGAGGACAAATATTGTATAATCCCACTTACGTGAGGTATCCATTGGCTAATTCACAGAGAGAGAATACAGAGCAGAGGGTACCAGGCACTGGGGGGCAGGGAGTTCTTGTTTAATGGGCACAGAGTCTCAGTTTAGGATGATGAAAAAGTTCTGGAAATGGATAGTGATAATGGTTGCACACCACTGTGTATGTACTCAATGCTGCTGTATGTACTCAACACTTAAAAGTGGTTAAGATGGTAAAAATTTTATGTTGTCTATATTAGCCACAATTAAAAACAAAGAATTTGAGGCCGTTTTGCATAACTAGACACAAAATTTTTAAACTGACCATTAAAAGAAAACGTGAATGAGCTACCGCTTCACCACTGGGATGTCTAGAATCAAAAAGACAGGTGATAACAAGTCTTGGTGAGGATGTGGAGAAATTGGAGCCCTCAGATACTGCTGGTGAGAATGAAAAATGGAGTAACTGCTGTGAAAAACAATTTTCCGGTTTTCAAATTGTTTAGCACAGAGTTAACATATGACCCAGCAATTCCACTCCTAGGCACATACAGCCAAGAAGACTAAAAACTTATGCCCACACAAAACCTACACACACATGTACACAGCAGAACTATTCATAATCATCAAAAGGTGAAAACAACCTATGTATCCATCAACTGATGAGGAGATAAACAGAATGTGGTACATCCATTCAATGGAGTATTATTCAGCAACAAAAAGGAATGTAAGTACTGATACATGTTACAACATGGATGCACCTTGAAAACATCATGCTAAGGAAAAGAGGTCAGTCACAAAAGATCACTTATTGCCTAATTCCATTTATAAGAAAGGTCCAGAAAAGGCCACAGGCTGATGGGAACAAAGAATGGGAAGTAACTGCTAAGGGGTACAGGGTTTCTTTTTCAGGTGATGAAAATGTTCTGAAATTAGATAGTGGTAATGTTCATACAACTCTGTGAATATACTACAAAACCACTGAACTGTACATTTTTAAAAGGGTGAGTTTTATGGTGTGTGAATTATATCTTGCTAAAGCTGTTCTTGGAAAGTACATTTACAAAGAAGACTTTAAAATGCATCCAAAGAAATTACTTTGAAATAAATAAAGAAGTACACATGGGATGTGCAAAGAACAAAGACCAGAAGAGTTCTGAATTTAGTTCTGAGCGTCCTAATGGTTGAGACAAGCCCACAGGCATATTCTCAAAGAGAAAGCATAATTCTGAGTTTTAATTTTGTTGAAAATCATTTAAAGGTCACATATGAAAGTAATAAAAATAAAAGATGCCAAATAATAATGAGTGTTTGCTATCTTCTCCCTTCCCCTTTCATCACATCCCCTCTTTCCTAAGAAGGAAGGATTCTTTCTTGCTGCATCTACTCCCATCCTGTGGTCCCCAGGACGGAATCTGGGTGATGGGGAGAGTGTTGGGAAGAAGGCTGATAGACTAAATTGACCTACAGAATAAAGAGCTGAGAGAGAAGTGGGAAGAAAGAATGTAGGTTAACTAGGCTGCAGGAAGTACTTTTCCAAGAAACTTGGGGTGGTGAAAGAAGGACTAGTGAGGAGATATAGGTGTCCTGTAGTAAGGAAATAAGAGAGAAAGAGAAATGGAAAAAGATGTTTTAAAATACTGCGAGTCCTGATGAATGAAATCCTCCTTTTTTTCTGTTTTTTTCTTTCTTTTTTTTTTGAGTAACAATAATAAACCAACAATTATCATTTAGTTGCTAGGCTGCTGATTATTTATTGATGAAGGATTTTGAGATTGTTGTGATTTACCTAGACTACATTTGGAGGCTACCGTCAGAGATTAAAATCTTGACCGCATCTCAAGGTTAGAGTGCATCTTCACAGAGCCAGACTTCCAGAATTATGGTGCAAGGAGCACAAGCTGACCTGACCTAAACTCTAAAGGACCCTCCAACACTGCCGGAAAGTCAGAGGAATGCTAGGAACTATTCTAAGACTGGAATTATGACATGACGTGGAGGAAAAGGGACTGCTGGGGATATGGATGTCCAGCTGGAAAATCAGATTTATGCTGTCTGTGTGAATTCACTCAACTGGGGAAGCTTGAGTCAAGTACTACCAAAACTAGAAACATGTTTTTACCTACTATCACCCACACAGCCTCTTAACAAACGAAATTCCTGTCCAGGCAGAGAGGAAGTTGATGGCAGACACACTGGGACAAGTTCAAAACTTCTGAACTGGTTCCACACAGGAGAGAGGAAATCCCTTGGGGAACTGACAGCTGCTGTGGGACATGCAATCGAGAAGATGTGAGAACAACTGCTGTAACTTAGGAAACGGACAGGAAGTAAAACGCCAGCAGCAGCTGGGGGAGGGGACTCTTAGTCAGCTTTTCAGTCAATGAACTGAACATCCACTGCACCAGCAAAACAAGCACTGGAGACAAGGAAGTGGGACCCACGAAGAACAGGTCTGCCGGGGCTGACCTTGGAGATCCTTCACGGATTCCAAGTCATCACAACCCATATTTGAATATGGACTGTATACTACACACCAGTATGTTAGAGTATTCTCTCAACGTTGATTCCCGAGTGTAACGACTGTACTGTGACCACACAGAATTCTCTTGTTCTTAAGAGATAACTGGTAAGTGTTTAGGGGTGAAGTGTCATGATATGTGCAACTTACTCTCAAACAGTTCCTCTCTCTGTCTCTCTTCTCTCTCTCATTAGGCAAAATATAACAATCAGTAAAATGTTCACAATCTACATGAAAAATAAAAGGATGCCTGTTACACTATTCTTGCAACTGTCCTATAGATTTGAAATTTTTCAACATAAGAAGTTGGGAAGGGGGCTTTCCCATGCATGATCAATATATGTATAATGTATCCTATCAGTAAAAAAAAAATGTGGACTA